CATAATGTGAAATGAACTAAAAAAAAATTGATAACGTTTATCGTGTGTGTGAAACTGGCGTCTCACTTAAAAACTTATTAAATATTCTGAGTTTATTTTCAATAGTTTTGTAGTTCTATAGGTTAAACAAATAATTCCGGTCAATTAAAGCCGAGAAACTAAAAATCCAAAATGATACGCCAGATTCACACAACTTATTTTGTCTAACAAAAGTTTCAGCTACAGTTTCTTGTAGGATTTAAAAAGACACTTGGTTCTAAAGAGAGTTCTGGTGATTAACATTGTGTTACTTTTATTTTATTTTTAAACCATTTCTTCCCATAAAAAGTAGTAGGAACGAAGATGAAACGCTGTCCGATTTTGAAGAATTCTGATAGTTTACGATAGTTCTTATATAATTCCAAATGTATTCTAATATTTTCTGAAAAATTTTGATCATATACACAATTGTTTATTTTTTAAGTAATTTTTATAGCGCGAAAAAGGCGCCTTTTTCAGGGAATATGTGTGAGATGCTGACCGATTTCCGACAGTTCTATGGTACATAATTCTCGTGTAGTTCTGAATGTATTCGAACGCTTTTCTAAGAATTCTAATCATTTTAATTATTTCTTTATTTATATTTTAATTATTCATTCATTCGATGGCGCCACATCCCAAAGTCGGAACAGGGCCTACCTATCGTTATTGTGCCTATGTATTATCCATGATGCGCACGCAAGTTGTACACACACAAACATACAGGATATACAATTTAACGCCGGTTCCAAAACGGCAGTTTGAAAGATTTTCTTGGCAATAGACTCTTGGTGGTTTGCCAGATCGCTGAAGAGGAGCTACGAGCGCGTGAAAATTTTTTGGATCTACCGGGGATCGAATCCGAGTCTTCTAGCATGCTCTAACATGATAGATTCGAGCGCTGTCTACTATGCTACGCTCATTTTACGTAAAATATTACATTAATAATACATTTAAATCTTTTCTGAAGAATTCTTATCATGTAAAATATTTGTGAGTTTTTTAAATAATTTTTATCATCCTAGAAAGGCGCTTTTCTAGGTATATGTGAGACGCTGGTCGATTTCTGACGTTCTGCGAGTTCTATGGTAATTCTCTCTTTAGGTCTGAATGTACATAAACGCTTTCCGAAGAGATTTTGGTCATTTTAATTACTTGTTAATTTTTTAAATAATTTACATTACTAAACGAATCATTCGGAAGGAAATGTTTAGACAGATGTCGAATGTAGATAATCGATATTATAATTGCCCGTATTGTATGTACATACTTATTAACGGATTAACATGATCAGATCGATAAGCCTTTGTTAAGAAGGGGGAATCATCGCATTCATAGATTTTGCGCCTGCTTCGCGATGTATAATAATTCGACTATTCTGATACCAAGAGGAATCACACGGAATAAAACATTTTTTTTCAGCTTTGAATGAAATCAGTTATTACAGCACCTGGGAACATATTCCATGCATCATTTCTTTTTTTGCACCAAATTTTTTTTTATTAGGGTATCAGGAACAAGCGAAATTGAATAAACGCAATTTTAGCCATAATTTCAGCGCGCATGAAGAACCTCCGACTAGAGGTCTCCATAATCTCTCCTGTCGACCCTAAGACGTGTCTTGAGGAACGATAATTTGTTGCCATCTTAAAGCGATTGTAATGACGTCCTTAAAAGTCATCTTAAAGAATTCGTCCTTCCAATAATGCTCACTAGGTAGGAATATTTAAATCCTAACATATTATTTGTTATCGGACGGCATTTTGCGCATAATGATAATTTTTGTAAATTTTATAATTCGTCTTCGTCCCTCAGCGACTTATTATTCATATTACATTTCTTTATATTATTATCTTACATTTCATATTACATTATTCAATACTTATTATTCATATTACATTATCTGTGATCCTTCAAATTGATTGAGATGAAGAAAAACGTTAACGAATGCAAGCGGACTCATTCGTCCGCTTCCCGCGATGAATCCGCGCGCATTCATGAATTACGTTCAGTTCCAAAAATACAATACTCCCGTCACGTTTCTGCTTACTGTATTATGAAGCGCCGTTGAGCGACGAGCGTCGGCTCATTCTACGCGCGCACGCTAGCACGTTTTTTGTCACGCATACAAGTAAAAATCGAACACGAATCGAATCGTGTCCCATTTCCCGCTGTATATTTTACGATAATATTTTCTGATCACATGAAGAGTTACGCTCTACGGTTTCGACGCTCCAACCCAATCGCGGCAAAGCAGTGAGAGGTGAGAGGAAGCGGAAGCTGAAAGCAACGAGCCTGCGAGCCGATAAGAGTCTGTCGACAATGCCGACGCTCCGATCGATCGGAAGCGGAATTCGCGCGTTCGGGACTTTCGGATCGAACATCGTCAGGTCGGTTAGTAATTTTAAGCAGACGGCGAGGAGAAAAAGAGCGAGCGAGAGAGGGGGGAGAGGGAGATAGAAGGAGACTGCTGGGCGCACGCATGACGCACGCGCGCGCACACGCTGGCGCACGCTAGCGGCGCGGAGCGGACGTGATGAGACGTGCGGAGCGGAGCGGAGACTGGAGACTGGAGACCCGAAGAGACGCGGCAGGCGGCAGCGGCACGGACAATATGCGTCGACGACCGGCGACGCCGTCGCACATGCGCGTCCTGACGCGCCCCTGTTCGTTCACCGATTTCGATTTTAGTCACTCCCGGGTTCGGCTTCGGAGAAAATCGTCCCGCTCTGCGGTGTAGCGCGCGCGCGGTCAGCCACGGGGCCACCACCCAATTCGTGTCGCAACTACAAAAAACTAACGTTAACGATCTCACGCGAGTCTTGAGCTTGACCGGCGCGCGATATATCAGGATATAGGTGCCGTCGAAGGGTGGCGCGTGGCCGACGAATCTTCGCCTGCACCATCTCACGAGGATAAAGCGGATAAAGAATCGCACGAGAACGCTGAACGAGTAAGAAGAGGGAGAGCAAAAGAGACAGAGAGAAAGAGTAGGCGCGAGCGCGATCTCTCCACGGATTCGACGATATAGTCTCGTTCTATCGTCATCCTCTTCCTCCTCGTCGTCGTCGTCGTCGTCGTCGTCCGTCGGCAAAGCCGCGGGAAACGACCGTCCAGTCCGATCGTTCGACGAGCAACACGCCGTGGCATTATCGTGACGAGTAAAACCGGAGGAACACTCGGAGAGGTGAGATAGCGATGCGCTTCCGTGAATCGATCGGGAATACATTGTACGATGTTTCATACGATATCAAAGATCGTTAATTGCGATTTCGAAGTCGCGTCACGCCGGTCACACGAGGTTAGATACGAGTGGCCGGTGTAGGACACTGGGCAGCTCGCGCTTTCGTAGCGTACGTACTACGTACTGTGTCGCGTGCACTTGTCACAGTCGCCGTGTTTTATAACCGCCGAGCGCCGATCCTCACGAATGACGGAGTACGAACGCCGCGAACAACGCGGGACAAAGAGTGGGTGTACGAAGCGCGCGCGCGGAGAGAGGGAACCGATGCGAATAGGTGGAAGGCGAGGACGGGACGATAACGTGGAGTTGTGAGATGACGCTCCTCAACGTGTCGGAGGAAGAGAAAAGAAATGTATCGACGCTCTTTCATGTCGAATGCACGAGAAGCGAAGTACTCGCACCCGAACGTATAACCG